CCACTTGTTGTTGTTTTTTTTTAAGAACCCAAAAAAAAAAAAAAAAAAAAAAAAAAAAAAAAAAAAAAAAGAGCAGCCAAAACAGGAGCTAGAGAAGAAAGTATGGGGGCATCTCAATCATTCTATACCCATCTGTAAATGTCCCCCCTTTCCATCTCCACCCAATAATAATTGATTCCAAGTTCACAGAGGCAGAGGAGCCGCCACAGCTTCTGACTGAGACCCACCCCCCCAAAAAAAAAACGAACAGATTTTCTTTCTTTTCCCTTAATCCTTCTGTAGAATCAGAAGGGGTGGAGAGGGCTTGTCTGGGTAATTCCAGAATTACAGGGAAGCTCCCAGCCCAGGCTTCCCCTGAACTCCCAGATGCTCTATTGCCAGGCTTGGAGAAAGGGGGGGATTGAGTTGCTTCAGCTACTGAACTTCTCTCTCATCAAGAAGGAGATGATGAGTCATGCCCTGGTTGGAAGCAGAAGGAGGGCCCTCCAAAGTCTCACTGTGTGAGCTGTTACCTCCAGCACCCTCGCAGGAGAATGTGAACCTGCCCCTCTCCTGCAGTCAAACGGAATACAATTATGTTCAAACTGCTGTCTTATTTGGGGAAAGCCATTAGTCACGGATTTGAGGGGGTGGAAAGACTGAACAATGTTCATTAATATTAGAAGTTTCTGGCAAGGAGGAAAAAAAGGCCAGACCCCCCTATACCTAGCCAAATGAGATTCCAAAAGGCTTCTAATCACATCCTAGGAAGGTGGAGGTAGAAGGATCAGAAGTTCAAGGTCAGGGCTGGGGAAATAGTTGAGTTTGGGGACTGCTTGCCCAAGTGGCTTCTAACCCCAGTGCTACATAAACCAGGCATGGTGGTTCACACCTACAAATCCTAGCACTCAGAAAGTAGAAGCAGGGAAATTAGGAGTTCAAGATCATCTCTGGCTACATAATGAGTTTGGGGCCAGCCTGGACTACATGAGATCCTGTGTCAAGGCAAACAAAAACCAGACCTTTTTCTTTAAGCTCCTGTCAGTTTCTAACCAGTCTCACTGTCCTAGAGGATACCTGATAGGTTCTGGGAGAAGCAGCATTTGAGGGCCAAACTAAGGCTGTTCCCTGCTCCTGCCCACAGGTTCTCTCTGGAGACTGAAGTGGACCTCAGAGGGCCTCTGGAGAATTTGGGCATGACTGACATGTTTAGCCCAACCCAGGCTGACTTCACGAGTCTTTCTGGTGAGATATGATCCCTCTCACTTTATTGCTCCCGTGGGTCAGGGTCCCCCCGAGAGGATGGAGGGGTGGCTAATCTGTGCTTTATGTGCCCCACCTCTGTTTCAGAGCAAGAGCAGCTCTCTGTAGCTCAGGCCCTGCAAAAAGTCAAGATCGAGGTGAACGAGAGTGGTACGGTGGCGTCTTCCTCCACAGGTGAGTATGGCTCTGCCATGTCACCCCACCACCCAGGACAGCAAGCACCCTACAGGAAATGTAGAGCAAGCCCAGTCACCACCCTTCCCCAAACCTAAGGTGTTGCCACAGTGCAAATGAACTTAAAGAATTTGCTTAGCAGCCAGGCGTTGGTGGCACATGCCTTTAATCCCGGCACTCGGGAGGCAGAGGCAGGCAGATCTCTGTGAGTTCAAGACCAGCCTGGTCTACAAGAGCTAGTTCCAGGACAGCCTCCAAAGCTACAGGGAAACCCTGTCTTAAAAAAAAAATCTTAGCAGTAAGCCCAAAATATGTTTGTGATTGATAGATCTTGACCAAATCCTACAGGAAACTGGGGCCCACAGGAAGTCTTGAAACTTTTAAGGGCATTAATCAGAGAACAAAGAAACAACCTGAAGCCAGGTAGTGGCACATGCTTTGGGAGGCTGAGGCAGAAGGATGAAAATTCAAAGAAGCAAGACCCTGTCCTGAAAAACCAAAGATAGGGAATGTAGCTTGATGGTAGAGCCCCTGCCTAGAATCCCCCAGTGAGGGTCAGGGGGTGTGGTTCAGCGGTGGCATTCTTTCCGTAGCATGCCGGAGGCTCTGGGTTTCATACCTACTACTTGTTTCTTTTAAACCACCTAAAAATCATCTTCCAGTGCTGCCACCAGATAGACTGGTGTCATTGGATCTCTTGGGATCCCACCAATGACAACCTAATACATTGTCCCTTCTCTTTCAGCCATTCTAGTCTCAGCCCGCATGGCCCCTCAGGAGGTGATCATGGACCGACCCTTCCTCTTTGTGGTTCGGCACAATCCAACAGGTGAGCAGAACCCCACCACATGCTCCTCTCTTCCCGCTAGTTCTTAAAAATCATTATATACCTGCCCACCACCTAGATGTCCCCTGAGCCTTTAGGGACTCAGTAAAGATTCTGAATCTCAGTTCCAACCCATTCTGAAGCACCCTGTCATAGCCCACCCAGTGCCAGGACCCCAGTCCTAACTTAATCACCTCCTTAGATGCTCACCTGGCATGATTCTTCTACCCACAGAGACAATCCTCTTCATGGGCCAATTGATGGAACCTTGACAGCAGGAAGAGAAGCCTTCACTCGGGACAAAACTGGAGCTGTTATAAGCAGAAACTCTGAAGAAAAGACTCATTTCAAGTACTCTTTCGGGAGAAGGAGAAGGCATTTCCCTTCACTCCCACAGTGGGAAATCTTCCAACAGCCTCCCAGACCTCGGACTCTCGAAGGAAAAAGAGTCTAACTCACTCACTAGAGTTAGACTCCCCTGTTCCACCAAGATCTCTAATCCAGACACAGAACTAACAGAGCCTTCATCTGGCCATCTTTCTAACATTCAGACTTTGGATCTGGGTCCCACCAGTGCCCCAGCGGGGTGGGGCCACAAGGCTGTCACTCAGCATCCTTGGGCAAAAAAATCACTGGCCACCTCTTGCACCTTTTGCAGTTGCTGAGGTGGGTGCCACAAGCTAAAGGGAGAAACACTGCCTTCTCCCAAGGTACACCGCGGGAATGACCGCCTTGCCCGGCTCCCAGGGGCAGCAGGTGGACAGATCAAGTGTTTGCCCAGTATTGAGCCCTGTCCCAGCTCCTTTTGTGCCCTCCCCTGACACCGCATAGGTTATTTCAGAGTGTAGGTGACTTGTTTACATAGCTTTTTTCAACCCACAACCCTTTTTCTTTTGGGAACAGGGAAAGAAAGGTCAGATGTGTGTGTGCCTGGCTCATCATCCCCAATCTCCCTGTCGGGGTGCAGGGGAGATGCCAGGGGTGTGCTTGAATATTTATCACATTCTTCCTCTTGTGTGCTTGTTGGAGAGAAAAATATATTGTTAAGGAAAAATCATTTTATTTAAGTCATGGCACACGGTGTCCCATTTGGGGTCTATATCCCTGTATCTCAGGGGTACGGCACTCTACAAGCCTGCCCCTCCGGGTGGCCCTAGTGATGGGAGTTCACACTGCCGCCTAGTGGCAGCC